TATAGTTTTCCTCTGTGGCATCATCGGGACGGGAAAGGCATTCTCGCTCGCGATCTCATCGATAAAAGAGTAACGTCTTCGCGATCGGTGGTTATTTCACGTTTTAACCAGACTTAGACTTTGTGAGTACGTTCTGTTGTCATCCCGTTGGCCGCGGATTCGTTATTGAGCCCGAGAGCATTGTCACTCGTGTCGCGAGTGCCGAACCGCCGTGATCAATTGTCAAGACTGTAATAATTCTATCATTGCAATAAACTACACCTGTGTGTACCGTATCAATGGCTAATCCTCGAGAAGATTCATTTGACGCCCACAACCCCGCTCCCAGTGCCAATCCGACAAATATATATAAATAATGCGTCTGTAGCAGCGTATGCGTCAATATTGGTTGCCACAAATGCCACACTAGAGGCAGATTTCATTGTAGTGGTACCGAGTATTTTGCAAATATCTTGAAAAATAAGATCGACCGTCGATTACATGTATAGGAAAAAGTTATTCAAAATATTGAATTTACAACATATCCAAAAATTATTGAAATCGAAGAGTAGGTAACTTTTCTGCAGCTTCATTTCCATCTTTTTAATTTTATTTTTTCTGATTAAAAAATTGAAAAACCCATACAATTTATTAATGTTATTTTTCTATTTAATAAGTCGTATATACATATGTTAGTGGATTTTGTAAACAAACTTTCAGTATTCATGATATTTTTGCGAACTTCTATTTTCTGTTTTGGTATATGTTCATATGTGACATCTGCCCCTTTGTTTTGTAAACTGTAACATTTCCAGCCGATCGCGATGTACATATTTATGACAATTTTTGTATCTTTTTTGCAGCTTTCGACTGCGAGTAAAATTTTCATCGTCTGATATAATATAAGCCATAAGACTTTGAGGACATAAACAGAGACAAAATAGAAGTAGCCATATCTATACTGATATAGAGTCACGCATCATACATTGTACGATAATGGTGACAAAAAAGATTTGTGCGTTATAGCAATATCGGATCTTGTCAATTAATGATTTATAATTTTGAACAAGAATAAAGTTCATAGTATTATTTTATGTTACTTATCTTCCTATTTGGCTTTACTAATAGCCAAGATTTCAATATTTCACTTTAATGATTGATTTAAATCATTAATTTGTATCTTAATATATATATGTACTTATAGACAAAAGAGAACCGAAGTTTGCATATTTTAAATCCATATTTTAAATTAAATTGTCTTTTCAATTAAAAATTTTGTTGTTATTTTTATATTAGGAGGTAGGATCGCATTAGTTATTACTT